GGTTCTCCCCCTTTTGACTGGCCATTGGCTCGGTTCTCTGCAAACTTCAGTTCCACGACGTCGTAGACACCGACCGAGCGGATGGTTTGGATCAGCTGCTGGTCAGTCGTCCACTGGAGGAGGAAGAGGCCGGTGTCACCTCACAAAGCCCTTTGCAGGGACACCGTTGCCCCCCCAGTTAACCCAGGCTCAGAGCTCAGGGGGCTGGGGTAGGGCACTTGAGCACAGACACCCTCAGAGCCCCCTCACAGAGCTGAACATCAGCCTCCAGTCTGGAACAGGCTCTGGGCACGGCTCCCTGAGGTCTCTCTTCCCTGGATTAAGACAGACCCTTCCCAGGACTGTCCCTAGATCCATCAACAGGAGAAGGGGAGTCACCCCCAAGGAGGCAGAGCCAGGTGGGGACAGCAGCCAGCACAAGGGAAGCACTACAGCCACTGCTCACTCCTCCCCAGACTGGATCTGAAACCCCTCAAGGCTACAAATCCCTTTTCCTTGAGGATCACAAGCTCAAGCCCAGCTCATGACCCAGCCTGGAACACTGTGTGAACACGGATTGAGGAGGAACAGCACCCCAAAGAGCCCTGCAACCCCTTGGATGGGGGTTCTCTGGTGGATCCCCATCTACCTACACACCACAGGAGACCCCAAACTACCCAGGCAGGTGATCTGGAGGGAAGCAGAGCCAGGCAGGGATCCCACTCACCCAGGAGAAGCTGCCCACGTAGACGGCGGCTCTCTTGTTGCGCAGCCCGCTGTAGGTGTAGAGGATGGCGGGGGGTTTGCTGTTGGGTTTGGGAGATGGTTCCTGTCGGATTTCTGGGGGTGCCTCCGAGGTGCTGGTGCGGGACTCGCTGGGCTGCGAGCTGGCGGCTAACACGTCGTCGTACAGATCCATCTGGTCAGCATTACTGAACTCAGGATCCTGCCAGGGGAGAAACCGTCAGCACCTTCACCCAGGGGAGACCCTGAGGGTGAAACCACAGCTTGGAAAGGGACTTTGTGGGCTGTAAAGAGTCTAAATGGGGCTCTGGAGCATCACCCCCTTGTACTGGGGTCCTCCCAACACGCCCCAGCAATGACCATCCAGCAGACAAACTAGAATGAGCACAGGGGATGTTTAAAAGTCATCTCGTGGTGCTGGTGGCTGCAGATAAATGGTGCTGGAGGTGAAGAACCTTCCATCACAGTTTGCAAACCAGTCAGAGAATCCCAGAATCCCAGACTGGTGGGGTTGGAAGGGACCTCAGGAGATCATCCAGTCCAACCCCCCTGCCAA